GAGAACAGTCAATCCCACTATCACCAAATAATCCTCTAGGAAATAAATGCAGTAAAAAAGTCACACTTGTCTTAGCAGATGTTGATATAATTTTAATTTCATAGGTTAGAGCATTTAAAAAACTTTTCTGGAACTATTCAGAGCACATGCTTGTAATGGGGTAAATGGGAGGAATATGATTTAGCTTTAAAAAATCAGACTCGGTAACAGTACATATCTCTAAAAAATATATTCCATTTTATGACCAGCTGGTTGAATGTCTTGCTGTGATACAGCAGCATCATGGTACTGTATATTTTGAAGGCAATGCTAAATTCAGACCCTGGCTCTGGCTGAAAGACTCAGATGTCCTGACTTGCTGTTTGGGGTGCTTGCTGTAGAGGAAAATAAAATTCAGGGCCAGATCCAGACCCAGAGTCCCCATTCTCCTGCTGCTGGGAGCACCAGTTTTGCCCTACTTGTTTGACTAGGAGTGAATGGGACTGGTTTGGTTTTCTTCCAGACCGGTTATACCTCGCCTCATTATAAACTTCACCGTGTACTGTCCTTTCCCCTGTCTTATCTCCCCGTCTCCTTCAAGGGCAATGGTGGAATGCAAGAGGGGTGCTTTTGCTGGGGGCTGTTCTGAGCTGAGAGGAGAGGCAAAAATGACCTTTTATCCTGCTCGGTGTTTCAAACAGCTTCCGCCTGCGGGGAGGGGATGTGCTGAGATGTGTGAGAGAAAACACCGAAAAGGGGAAAAAGGCTCAAAAAGGGAGGGGAAAAAAAGTACAGCAAGGAAGCTAGAGACAAACTTCAAGTTGTGGATTATTTCTCACCCAGGCTCTAATTAGGAAGCCTCTTATGGGACTGTGAAGCTGTCAGGCTGCCAAATGTCAGCGTGTTTATCGGAGATCAGGCGAGTCTCCTGTCTGCAGCAGCTACAGTTTGGTGCCATGAGCCTCCTGGGTCCTTCCAGCCTGTGTGACTCACACTCAGCAGTAGCACCTCCGGGGGCTTCGAGGCAGTGGAGGGCTCTTTCTTCTCCCTTAAAAATCCAAAAATAAGCCCTTTCCTGAGATTTGGCCTCTTCGTTCTGGCTCTGCACGGGGAGGGTTAACCACAGGGTGCAGAGCAGCTTCAGCATATGTGACTCAGATTCCCAGGGAAATCCCCACCTTATCTGATGGAGCCTGTTAGTCTGCTAATTGAATAAGCTCCTATTAAAAGTGCAATGTTTTTTAATGACTGCTAACAACGGGCCAGATTCTGATCTGATCTTTTCTCTTGGGATCATTTTTGCTGCTGGTGCGGCCCAGCCCTGATTGCAGCCGGGCAGCCTCCCCCAGCCCCACCGGCTGCCGCGGAGCCCGGGCCGGGAGCTGACCCCAACACAGCAGCTCTAGGGCTTCTGGGGTGCTGGGGAGCTACAGACCGGGCATTAAAACTTCAGTTTTAATGAGCCAGGACTTCATGAAGCGTAACAGGCAGGAAGCTTTTAATGGGAATCTTTAGGAAGAGACAGAAGGCTGCAGTGCAGCCAGCAGAGGAAAGCGTTTGTTGGGAGACTACCAAGGACTCCATGTAACGTAATTGCTGCAAATATCTACTGCGTGATTCGAGCAGTGCTCTGAGTAATTAACTTTGCCAGTGTTGAAATCAGGTTGATTTGTTGATTCTGCATATATGACGTTGTCTATGTCTGCCTAGGAAAAATGTTGTGTGTGCCTCTGCATATGCACATTCAAACCCTAATTTTAATTAAAATTATGTGTATTACACCTGTATCTTCTTTTTCTCTACGGGAATTGACTTCGAGAAGGTATTTGCCTAACAGGAAAATAAAAAAACGTGGTTAGCATTTAAAGTTAACTTAGTAGGGTTCCGGGGTACTTCTGAAGGAGAGTTTAACAGCTCTGATTTCAGCCAGGCCCTGGCTGCCCCAGGGTGGGGCTGAGCTCTCTTGCACGACCCTGTGACCACATTTGCCTTCCTTTTCTCACCTGAAACTCCCAGTGGGTTACCCAAGCCTATGTGACATCAGAACCATACAAAGTTTTCTAATAAGAAGACTGTTTTTTGTTTCTTTTCGCAAGCCAGGAATGAGATCTGGCCACCTTCACCCCCACGCATCTCCACACCTACTCAGTTCCTTTGTGTGTCCCTTTTGCTTTTCTCCAAGGAAAGTTTCTATTAAAATGCAGGAGCTTCTTTTAGCAGGTCCCATACATCCACACTGACACTGAGCTGCTGCTTTAAAAGTTTCATAAGCAACCCGTAAGTGGTGGGTTTTTTCCACACAATACCAATAACGAAGTGTCAAAAATCTCAAGCTCCTGTTATCAGAGGCAGAGTCTAACCCCCGTTTCTCAGGCTGTTTTCTATTCCCCACTCCTGAGTTGTCAGATGCTGTGACATGGCTCCATCACACCACGACTACCAGTCCCAACAAACAGAAAATGATTTCCAACTGGCAAACATGCTGTTTACTTTCCAGAAAAATTGCACTTTCCCATCTGACAGCTGATCAAGGGATCTCCTGCTGCTGTCAGCATGAAGAAGTGTTTAAACACAGGGATGGAAGTTTAAACATTTTCTCATTATCACAGAATAAAAAAAAATTAAAAAATAATAAAAAAATAAAGGCATTGAGTCTCTCCGACCACCTGCTGTGCCAGTAATGAAGCGGTGTCACATGACCAGCCGGCGAGGACTTTTATCTCTGCCCCAATATCATTACTGAAGTGACACCTGTCACATGACCCGCATCAGAGCTTTCATCTGGGCTCCCCAAATGCAGTTCTGGCTTGTGAGGGGGATTTTCCTGGCATTTCCCTCCCCCACACACACTTTAAAGAGCATTGCCCACTCGCGCCATTACAGACAGAGGTTTGCAAGTTTCAAAGCCCTTGGATCTTTCCTTGGGCACATGTAATTTGGCCAACAAACTTGCTCCAGGCTGAAGGAAAACAGAATCCTGGCCTGGGAAAGAAGTTATTTCGTTTACTTCAAGATGTTTTTAAAGCAAATATTTAAGTCTGCTGTTAAACTCTCTTTAGAAGAGGATGTTAAAGGATTTCTCAAAAATCTCCAATTTGTTTTTAATTTTTTATTAGCTGGTGAGAAGAAACAGTTCGGTGACCCTTGAGCAAAATGATCTCCGTTTACATGCACTTTATAAACTCTCACCTGCTTTATTAACGCATCCTACCCCTGCCAAGAGAAAGCATTTTCTGGGGAAAAAAAAGGAAAGATCATTCCTGCACCTCTCTGCAAACGTCTGGGATTTTTTGTGAGGTGTTCAACAGCAAAAACCTAGAATTGAGATGGGCCCACATAAATGGTAGCAGTTCTGAGCACTTACTCACCAGAACCCACTCAGTTATTATCTCAAAACAAAACATCAAACATTCAGATGTGACAGGGGATGATCATCCTGCAGGAACTAGATGTGGGCACACTGGAGATAAGAGAATATGAACTTTATGGCTTTTTCCAGCTCCTCCTTTCCCACCCCACACTCATCCCTGAATGAAGTCTAGTACTTCTCTCCCTTCATAATCTAATTCAGCTCACTAAAATAATGAAAAACTAACTCAGCAAAACAGCTCATAATTTCCCACCTGTTTAGTGAACTAAATCAGTTCTTCAAGGTCTTAGAAAAGTGCCGGAGAGCAAAAAAGAGAAAGACTGTGAAGCTTGAAGCAGGGAGGGAAATGGTGGAAGCAGAACCACCTTTTTGGGTGGCACTAACTTGGTACATGAATTCAGATGTGCTTCTTGTTACCTACTGTTTCTGACTCGTTATAGCACTACAGCCATTTTCCCTGAAAGCTGCTGCCCCTGCAACTGTGCAGGCCAGGGGATGGAAAATCTACTGAGATCAGTACTTCTAGTGTAAATAGTACTTCCTTTAGATTGGGACAGGAGTCGTTCTGAGGCAATTTCTCTCTCTGATCTGGCATGTTTAAGGCCTCCAATATTGACTTAAGGAACAGAAGACTGCTGGGTTGCAGCACATCCTTTGGACAGGGCCTTCCTGGCTTTCTATCCATCTAGATACAGAATTAGAAGGTATCATTTGACCCTTTGGCAATTTAGCATATAGATAAATTTAGCAATGTCTTGGCCATTATGGGGTAGCAGCTATGTAAAACAGCAAAGCCATTCTGTCTGCTGCTCCAGGGCAGAAGAAATTTACAGCTGATGCTCTGGATAGACCATGAGGAAAAGTGATTCAGTTCTCATCATTAGATCCCTCACTGCCCATGCATAACAAATCCTTTCATTTAACATATCTTGAGCATTTAGTGGCTTCCAATTAGGAGCAGACCATGACCAACCCATTGCAGGCATTAGAGATCCTGCTTCTTCACTGCTCTTAGTTCAGACATCTCCAAGAATGCAAAAGGAATGCAGAACACCCATATCCCAACTTGGGCATCATTTATAGCTGCTCTGCTCAGTATTGCAATGGGAGGTCAAATCTTAATCACCCTAAGAGTAGCTGATTGGAAGATCTGGGTCCATGCAATCTAGAGGTAGAAAGACTTTTGGGACATAATTTGCCTTTTCATCGAGACAGAGAACTTTAAGGAATGTAACATAACGAATATCTTGTCCTCTTAACTGAGCAGTGCCTGCAGATAGTCTGTGAACCCTTTTATATAGTTACTCTATACATTCCTGCAATTATGTCTATAGCAAGGGCAAAGGGGAACATAAACACTTGTGCTGCTTCCTGCCCAGATCTGCAGTGTGTGGTTGGTAAATGATGGACTGGGGTGGGGCCGGACCTGCAGCTCCCTTACACTAAAAGCTCACCTTTCAGCTCTTTCTGTGGCTGCCACCCATAGCTCCTTGACTAGTTTTGTTCCAGTGTCTCAATGTTCTGCATAATTCTTGCTCAGAGAAGTTCTCCCAGTCATGCCAGTGACACTACTTAGATGAATAAGAAGTATTCAAGAAAGTTTGCATGCCTGCACCTTAATGATTTATCTCTGTCTTCCTTTTCTTCCCAGATCTGCTGTGGGCTTATATCATGGCTACTGGTTTATGATGTCCCAGAGCTAAGAAAAGGATAGCCGAAACCAAGCAGACTAGTACTTGAACACAGTAAGTTACTTGCTTTCCCAATTCTCCCAGGAAGAATATTATGAGAAATTTCACAGTAACTGTAGTTGGGAAAGAGCTCTCTGATTTCCCTATGTGTCCTGATCAGCACTTACCTCAGATTAGCTTTCCTTCTCATAGTCTGTCAGCAGCCCTGAGCTCAAGGAGATTAAAACACTCTGGTAACTCATTAATGAGCCAAGACTCTCAGCAACAGCTGGGGCAAGAATGGACTGTGTTTGGCTACATCTTAATTCTCTGCCATCTCCCCTCTGCTCATCAACACCTGCACACATTTGGGATCCTGTATAAGAAGACCCCTGAATTCAGCTCTAAGCAACCAGTCTGCAATGCACATGTCTAATGCTCTGCTGGTGTGGAACCAGTACGCTGGTAATCCTGTTAGTAATGGCAGAAGCTCCCTCTAGGAAATTATAACAAATAGTCTTAAACAATTCCTTTTGTTGACAACTTTATCCAAGAAACCATCTTCCCTGGAGACTTCACTCAACTTTCGACTAATCCCCTCCTTCCCTCAGGAGCTCTTTTGTTGAAGGAGATTGTGGGCAAACCCAGGAATGACAGGTCTCGATAAGCCTTGGATCAGCCTCTACATTCTTTCAATTGTCAGTCCCCATCTGTCCTGTTTGTACATCGATCTTCTGGTCCAGGGATCTCTCTATTAAGTGACACATGGCTGAGTATATTCTGCAAGTCCGGTGTCCAGACTGTGCTGTTACATCTTCGTTGCCAAGTCAATCTTTCTGACATTGGTTTCTGAAAAACAAAAGGCAGGACATCTGTGCAATTTCATTCTCTTCTAACGAAAGGTGATTTTTAAAAATACACACCCTGCCCCTCAAACTCTGTCCTTGTTTTATAATCTCAAAAATTTTGCTTCATTTTGTCAATATCAAGAGTTGCTTCAAAGGTCTTTGGTGTAGTAGAGGGTACAATCTGCCTCTGTTGCAAAGGAATTGTGTTAGGATAAAAATGAATGGCCTAAGTCCTGAATAACAACAAAAAAAAATAGATCCTAATTACAAATATTCTGCAGAGATATTGCCTTCAGTCATGTCTTCTTGATAACAGCTGGTTTAAAACAAGCTCTAATCTTCCTGTAGATTCAACTACACTTAGCTGGTACAGTAGCACACACATGTAAGAGGCACAGCATTATTTATCTGAATTTTGAGAGGTGGAATGAGAACAGTAGCAGATTCCAATGATCCATCTGTTCCTCCTCAGCAGGTAGAGGGAAAGAGGTGTGTGGTATAGGGTAGAAAATAAATAGAGTGTTGGCGTGGAGTATATGTCACCCTGGGATATCAGGGATACTGTCAGTACCTTTTCCTTTCTTGAAACCAGAAGGAGAACAAGGAGGAGTCTGTGATGATGTTTTGTCCCTTGCTGTGTTGCTTGGGGCCCATGGATTCAAGATGGAGCCTGGTATGTTTAGGGTTTTTTTGTTTTGTCTACTTTTATAACTTAACTCAGGTTGGCAAGTGAAGGAAGGCTGGCCAGTTTTATTATGTTCCCAGGAAATTCTATTCTCTCATGTGCCAGCGTGAGGCTGTTGTGCTTTAGATGCCTATCTACCTCTCATTAGATTTGAAAAAGCATACAGAACCCCCTGCTTTCCATCAGTAGCCTATTAAAATGACAAAAAAATTACTCTTTCATTTTTAACCTTGCTTGCATGTCTGAATCCAGATGCTTTTTTAAAAAAGATAATTAATAATATGAACACCATCACTTACAGAATGTTTTCCTGTAATGAAGTGGAGAAGAAAACTTGAGCTGACATTTAAGCTCGCTCAGTGTACTTTGTAAGTAGCCTTAAAAAAGTGACACAAACACTTTGAGGCCAGGTTAATATAAAAAAAATGTTTAAGACTATCTCCTACTGTTTTCAAGTTTTCACCATCTTATACAATGTGTTTGAGAACTGCTAGGTCAGTTAAAATGGGCCAAATACAAGTTCATTGAACACTGAAGCATGAGTGCCGTCCCCAAGGGAGTAGTCCCAGAAGCCTCAGTGGAACTGCCAGCCAGCTTTTTTGGCAGGATTAGGGAACAGTCATCCTGTCTGCACTCAGCTGAGCAGGTGAGCAGGGAATGCATTCAGGCTGCTTCCAAAACCCAATCTGGTCACAGGGCTGGCATTGTCAGGTCCTTCTTGAAAGGACTCGAGGCTTCCTGTCTGCCTGCTGTTGTCCACAGGATGAGGGCAGAAGGGGTACAGAGGGGCTGTGAGACCAGGCACTGAGTGCTGGGACCTGATCCTATAGCAGGTACCTGCCATCTCCATGCATTTGGGAGCACAGATGGCTAGCTGAGGTGTACCTTGCTATCACAGCTAGGGTGCCTCTTAGCTTGGCAGACAGTAAGACAGTCAAACTAATTTGGCCTCAAGACCAGTTTCCAGCTCTGCCCTTCAAGCACAGACCCAGCACTGACACTGACAGGACACATGGTGATAACAAATGCACAAAGTAAACAAAGAGACAGGATATAATAAAAGGGTGTTTTCTGGTAACTTCTTCCAGTAACAGTGATTTCAAGTGATCTTTTGGTCTTCTGTTACAAAAGGGAGATGAAAAATATTGATGCTGAAGCATCGTTCTGAGGTGCGTCATATTAAAATAGGGATTAATTAAAACCAAGGATGTTACAAGCTAAGGAGATTTTGCCTAGCTCTGCTCAGGTTCCAGTGTGTGTGAAATCAAAACAAGTAAGCTATAAAATGTGAACTCAATAGGCAAGGACAAAAGAGAACAAAGCAATTTGGTCAGTTTAAGCAGTGGGGAGATGAAGCAATATTTTGACTGCGGAGGCATCAGAGGAAAGGGCACTGGTCTGAGGCTTGGGAATATGACAAAACAAATCCAAACTTCCCATAATACTACTGAGTGTTGTTCATTCAGGGCCATTGGCTTGCTGATCTCTTCTCTCTGAATGTGAGGTTTCCCACTTTGTCCTCATGCTGGGATGTGATCATCCAGCCCCGGGTGTCAGTTCTGTTTTCCCATCTTAAATACACAAAGGAATTCATGTGCTAAAGATGATGGCAGCAGCTTTGACAGTGGCAACTATGTGCTTACCCAAGAATCAGTTAGTCATCCCTACTTTCTACCAGAACTTGCTCGACCCTCCTGAGAGCTGGCCTTTTCGGTAAGAAGCAAACAGGTCACAGATTTCAGGTTGCAGTCTCACTCCTGGAACTGTGAGCACTGATTGTCCTGTGGAAAAATCAGGTTAAAGAGAAAGCTGCAAAATGGTCCTTTTCCTTCATTGTGCTACTTTCCTAATGCTCTCTTGTGACATTAGCCACAATATAAAATAATTCAGGATCCTATTTCACATAGCTGCATTCCTTCTGATTTTTTTTTGGAAAATTATTTCTTTAATCTAGACACCCTTTTCTAGAAATCTCATCTGCAGTTTTTTTTCTTTTTTCTTTTTCTTTTTCTTGGAGCAACCAGCAAAATACTATTTGGTAGAACAGTGATAGGAATGCAACCCACTAATCAAAAGGATTCAAATGGATCTGCGCACTGCCAAGCTCTCTCCTTCCCACCCAGCAGAGGGGAAAAAAAAGAGAAAGAAAAAAGAGATAGAGCGAAGGCACAGGGCTTCTCTCCTTCAGCAATCTCACAAATGCAAAACCTTCCACTCCAGTGACTCCTCATTAACTTACCAAATCTGACAGTCTAATTATCGTAGCTGCTTCACGCTTAGAATAAATAAATACTAAAGTGGGTGTTTAAAGAAATTGAGCAGTGAAATCCAGTCATCTAGACAGTCAATAGAGAGTTTATTTTAAATTTTTATATTCTTATGTATTTATATCATTTTAGGAAAGATAATGAGATAGTTGTCTTTCAGGCTAATTGAGTTCCTATGCTCATGGTTGCTTGCTGTCACAATCTCAAACTTAGCTTTAACTTTTGTGCCTTAGAAACCTGATCACTACATCCCCGTTTACTCTTTTCTGATAATAACTCGGTGAAGTCAGAAGTGCACCTGAGGATGGGAAACGACTACACCAGACTACCAGTCTGGATGTCTTTCACAGCAAACAAGCCAACTAAATCTTTTCAGATTTGCATTTAAGAGTGCTAAAGGGGAAATGGAAGTTAAAGAAACATCAGATATAACTTGCAATTAGACAAAATGCAGAAAAACATCTGCTAACCTCTGATGCAATAGTGTCTGCCTCCATGAACAGTATTAACAGTGCTCTCCCCCAAGAGCAGTTCGTCTCTCTGAACAATAAGACCTTTATAGAGATTCTCTGGCCTGAGATCAATGGGAGTCAGAGCATTTGATCCATGTCTGTAGGACTTTGTTTCCGCAAGTCATGTGGGCCAAACTTTGCACCAGTTGTGCTTTTGCAAGAGCGGGAGCTGGGGAGTGAGCAAAGGAAACTTTCCTTTTTTTCCCATCTTCCCCTTCACCCTGTGCTCCTGAACAGTGCCCAGCACTTGCCAGCACAGTATCTGCTCCAGGACAGCACGCGGGGAAGAGCTGAAACAGGGCAACATGTCCAGAGTCCTGTGCCCTTGGCAAACATCTGCTGTGATGTTGCAATAGCTCTTTCCTAGGGTGATGGCTTAATGACAGAATACAAAACTTTAATGTCCTGTCAGTATGTAAGCAAGGAGACCTTCCACCACTGTGGAGATCAGAGCGGGTGAAGTGAGAGGTGGCTTTCCTGAGTTAAGTGAAGATTTGCTTTATCATCTCACATGTAAGAATGCTTCTGGCTTAGGAAGCTGATTTCCTGCTCAACACCAGCTTTGGTTTATACCTGTACTAAGACACATTATAAACCAGATGCATACACCTGATAGGAACTTCACTTTCTAGGTGTCTGTATCTGATTTGCAGTGATGGATATCTATTTGCTGTATACAGAGGTGGCACAGCACAGTGGTAAAAAAATATTAGGTGACTATATAAAGCTTTTAGCTATGTAGGAGAATCTAGGGCAACCAGTC